CTAGCAACTAGACCACACACTTTCTAAGCCATCAATCTTGAAGAATGGGTCAAGGATTGGTGGACCTAGATTTCAAGGGCCGTGACCCAGTGGCCTTCAAAAGCTAAAGACATACTAGAGGCCATACCCAAAAATCTTGTGGCAGCCAACTTTCCACTCCCCCATATATTCACATCAAAACCCTTTCTATTTTTCCTCTTTCACAGTTGCCTTGATAATCTAAAAACAGAGTCTAAGCCAGTGTATCCCAAAGCCTGATGGTCCTTTATTCATGGTCAAGGAGAGTCCATTTGTCATTAAAACACTCCCAGTCGAGGGGCGCCTGGGTGGCTTAGTCGGTTAAGCGTCCCACTTTCGCTTAGGTCATGATCTCGCGGTTCATGGGTTCGAGCCCCACATCGGGCTCTGTGCTGACTGCCAGCTCAGAGCCTGGAGCTTGTTTCAGTCTGTGACTCCCTCTCTCTCTGACCCTACCCTGCTCATGCTGTCTCTCTCTCTCTCTCTCTCTCTCTCTCTCTCTCTCTCCTAGAAATAAAATTTAAAAACAAACAAACAAACAAAACACTCCCAGTCGAGTCACTACATCTGCACAACTGAACACAGCTAGAGAAAAATCTCTCAGCCGGGCTGTTCCATCTCGGCATAAAGCCATGGTTGCTATCCTAAGGGCAAGCCTGCAATACTGCCCAGGAGCCATCTTGCATTTTCCCTAGAGCATTCAGTCCCCTGTCCTCCTGGGTGACTTCCTTTCCCAGTCCCCTCTGCTCAGACCCTAGAGCCACTTTCTCTTCCACCAATCACCACTCTTAGCTAGTGACTTTATGAGCAATTAATTAAAAGCATTCAGAGGATGGGGCACCTGGGTGGCTTAGTCGCTTAAGCGTCCAACTTTCGCTTAGGTCATGATCTCGCGGTTCGTGGGTTCGAGCCCCGCGTCGGGCTCTGTGCTGACTGCCAGCTCGGAGCCTGGAGCCTGTTTCAGAGTCTGTCACTCCCTCTCTCTCTGACCCTCCCCAGCTCACGCTGTCTCTCTCTCTCTCCTAGAAATAAATAAAAAATATTGAAAAAAAAAAAAGCATTCAGAGGAAACAAGTTCTTACCGCCCACTCCTCCACCTTCTACCTCTTATTCAGTTACTCTATATTCTCTCCAGCAACTGGCTGAACTATTAACACAGCAGGCAAAGGACAACCCCTAGACTCATTTCTCACGCATGACATCTATTTCTTCATGTCTACTCAGGAATATTGCTTCATACCTCTCCTTTGTCTCTTCTACATTACCAATGTCCCCCTTTCTATGGGATCTTTCCCATCGGCATACAAACACACCACTATTTCTCTCACTTAACATTTTTTCTCTTGATTCCACTCCCCACTCCCCGCCCCACTACCCCACTTCCCCACGTCCCCTGGCTCTTTTAGTAAATTCTTCAAGAGAATTGCTTTTGCTCTCTTTCCCCTAACCTTTTGGCAGCCCACTGCAACCAGGCTTTTGCCTCCACCACTCCATCGAAATGTCTCTTGTCAAAGTCACCATGACTTTGCATTGCTAAACCCGGTGATGAGTTCTCAGTCCTCACCTTACTGGATCTTGCCACAGCATCTGGCACAGCTGGTTCTCCTCCTCTTCCTTCTAAATGTTGGCATGCCGGGGCACCTGGGTGGCTCAGTCGGTTGAGCGCCCAACTTCGGCTTAGGTCATGATCTCGAGGTTCATGGGTTGGAGCCCGCATCGGGTTCTGTGCTGACAGCTCAGAGCCTGGAGCCTGTTTTGGATCCTGTGTCTCCCTCTCTCTCTACCTTTCCCCCACCAATGCTCTGTTTCTCTCTGTCTCAATAATAAATTAAAAAACATTAAAAAAAATTAAATGTTGGCATGCCCAGCACTCAGCCTGACTCTTGAGCCCCAGACCCTTACTCTTTTCTACCTACCCTTCAAGCCTTGTGACCTTAAATTCCATCTTCATTTCTCTTGGTGCCCACATTTATATTTCCAGTCTGGAGCTCTCCTCTGGACTCAGGTTCATAAATCCAACTGCTTGCCCAATGTCTCCATTTAGATGTCTGGCACACATCTCAAACTTAATGGATCCAAAACTGAGCTCCTAAACTTTCCTCTTCTCGGCAAATGATAACTTTGTTCTTCTAGGTGTTCAGGCCAAAAGCCTTGGGTCATTCTCTCTCTTTAGATGGAGATGGATCCATTTATTGATTTTATCTTCAGAATAGTTCCAGATCTTGATCCATGTCCCAATCATCTTGTATAAAGATTATTTCAATAGTCTCCTATCTGGTTTCTCTAATTATGTCTTTATCCCCTTCATTTTGTTCTCAGCAGCCACTGGAACAATTCTTTTAATACATGTCAAGTAATATCGCTCCTCAGCTCATTACAAGTAGAAGCTAGAATTGTCACAGTGGCTATAAGCCCCAGCAATGCCCGGTCCTGTTATCCCTCTGTCACCCTCTCCCCTTCACTCATTGTGTTCCAGCTATACTGGCCACTTTGCCTCCGTGAACACTCTAGACACGCTTCTGCCTCAGAGCCTCTCATTGGTGATTCCTTCTGCCTAGAATGCTTTCCCTTCGGATAACCTTCCTCTCTCCTTCCTGTCGTTTCTGAAGTGTTCCCTTATCAATGTGGCCATCCCTGACCACCCCATATAAAATCGAGTCCTCCTCTATGATCCTTTCCTACTTTTACTTTCTCCCCAACACTGATTTCCTTCTAATAAACCGTACTATTTTTACCAATTTTTTTTTTGGTCTATTATCTTTCTTCCTCCAAGAAAGCACCAACTTCAGCTGGCTAGATGTATCTGTTTTCTCATCGTTATATCCTCAAGTTCAGCATAGTACCTGGCACATAGTAGGTAATCAATAACTGATTGAATGAATGGATGAATGAATGAAGCCACAGAATCAGACTTCCCTGAATCCTACCCTACACCTGGGCTTCTTATTACAAAAGCAAGAAATGTCCTATTGTCAAGTCAGATTGAGCTGGGGTTCCTGTTTTCTTGTACTTCGAGCAGAAGTGAGCCGAACTGATACACAGGTATTATCTCACTTAAGCCTCATACCAACTCTGAGAATTAGGTGTGCTCTCTCCATCTTCCAGATGGGAGAAGTGAACCCCAGAGAGATTAAGTTATATGCCAAAGATCACACAGCTAGTAGATGGCAGAGCTGAGACCCTCAACCCATCTGACCGATCCCAAGGCCATGAGTTCTTGACTGCAGCCCTCCATGCAGACCACTCTCCCAAGAAAGGAGCCCAGGGCTGAGCTGAGTCAGGAGCCATGGGACTAGTGGGTCTGGGGTCACCAGGGACTTGCACAAAAGAAGCACTTGCTCTCCCAAAACTCCCAAGTATCAGATGTTAAAATAACCATCTTGTTTCCTGCATTTCACAATTCATCTTGTTGTTGCCGCTTGTGTGTTTCTTGTCTGTCTCTCCCCTTAGAATGCCCCCCATTCTATGTATCCCCAGCACCTGACACAGTGAATGGATGACTGAATTGATTCGGGTATTAATTCTGCTTAATGTCATTAATTCATTCAACAAATCGATTGAGCACCTGCCTGTACTAAGTACTGTCCTCATGATGCTTACCGTCTATTAAGACACTAAATAAATAATCACATACAAAAATCACAGAGAAAGGGGCACCTAGGTGGCTCAGAGAAGTGTCCGACTTCGGCTCAGGTCATGATCTCACGGTTCCTGGGTTCAAGCCCCGCGTTGGGCTCTGTGCTGACAGCTAGCTCAGAGCCTGGAGCCTGCTTCAGATTCTGTGTCTCCCTCTCTCTCTGACCTTCCCCTGCTCATGCTGTCTCTCTCAGAAATAAATAAATAAATAAATAATTTTTTAAAATCACAGAGGAAAAAAAAAAAAAAAAAACTGCGACCAAGGCCAGAAAGGAAAAGTATGGGGCACTGAAAGTATACAACAGAAGCCCCTAATTTATTTATTTTGAGAGAGAGACAGAGAGCCAGCATGGGAGGGTCGGACAGGGGGAGAGAGAGAAAATCCCAAGCAGGCTCCACACTGTCAGTGTAGAGCCCGGTGTGGGGCTTGAACTCATGAACCGTGAGATCATGACTTGAGTTGAAACCAGAGTTGGACGCTCAACCAACTGAACCATGCAGAAGCCCCTGATTTAGCCGGGAGACTGTCAGTGAGGGCCTCCAGATCTGAAGGATGGAAGGGGGTGTGGTCCTAGGAGAGGAAATGGCCTCTGCAAAGATCCTAAGGACTGAATGAGCTGGATGCCTTTGAGAGACTGAGGGATGGTGGGTGCACTGAGGGTCTGGTCTCACCTTGCCAGCGGTGGCCTGTGCTTCCTAGATCTGCCTGCAGGGGAGGGGAAGGAGAGGAGAGGGAGGCATCCTCCATGTTTACAGTTGAACAGCCTTCTGCCAAAGACAGGGGGCACAGGCCAGCTTGAGGTTGGCCCAAGGACGGAACCAGCTTTGCCTCAGTGTCTCTGTGTCCAGACACCTGGACCCTGGTGGCTTTTCCTTAGGCCAGTGTAATTCAGAGAAGGAGTCACAGAAAGTCACTCTGTCTGGGAAGCTATTGTGATGGCTCCAGAATAGGAGGGGGGGTGGGGGGGATATGTCAAAGCAAGATCCCAGCAAGGAGGGCTTTGCAGAGTACCGCGGTTTGTGTGACCAAGGCTATGTGTGGCTTCACCTGGCGGGGCTAGGGTGTAGCCAGTGCAGCACAGGGGGCTGGAGGCCACTGCCCACTGATGCGGGCCTTCTGCCCGCCGCCGCCCCAGGGGGGCGCAGAGGAGGCCGGGGCTCATCGCGGCGAGAAACCTGGAGGAAGGAGTTAAGAAGGACGGGCTGATGACCGTGGAGACAGAGCTCTGTTTATCCAGGAAAAGAGGTCGTACGTAGACAGCGGAGGCCCCTGCCAGCTCCTCCCAGAAGGACGGGGCTGGGGGAGCAAGCCGGAGAGGAAGCTGCTCCCCTCCGGGCTCTGAACGCCTGCGGGCCAGAAGCCAGGAACCAGCGGCGGCCTACAGGTGAGGCCTGCACCCCGGGCGTCCGACAGAACCTGCGGCGGACTCGGACTCCCAGGAGGACGGCCAGAACGTCGCGGTCCCGCGGGCGGGACTCGGGGGTGCGGTGAGCGAGCGGCGGCGGAGCCTCTGAGAGAGCCGCTCTAGGGGTGGCAGAGAATCAATACCTCCTTTGTGCTCGGAGGTTTCCTGGGGAGAAGAGGAGTGGAGCGTGGGAGTGGCGGCCCAACGGCCGGGCCCCGCCCCGCGGACTCGGGATGCGGCGGGGCTGGGAGGCTGGGAACGGGACAGCCAGGTTGGGGCGGAGGGGACTCTGTGTCCCCGAGAGGTGCGTCTCCTTGGACAGGCCCTGGGTGCTCGCAGGACAGCAGCCGGGTGTGCAGCGAGTGTGCTTCTGGCCTGGAGCCACTCGGAAAGAAGAGGGGGGAGCGAGAGGAGGAAGGTGGGGCCAAAGGATGGCTCCTTCTTAGGAGGCTCGCGCCGCCGGGGCGCAGGGAAGGCGGCCAGAGGGGGCGCCGGACAAGGCCTTGGAAGAGAGTCTGAGTATTCGGGACGCGCGAGGGAGAAGGGGAAGAGCCTGCCTAGGGCCTCTGTGTCTCTTCGGGGGAGCAGGATGTACAAGCGGGGTTTGGGATCTGGGTCCGTGTGTGTGTGACTACAGACCTTGTGATGATTAGAGAATGTTCCTCTAATTCTCCTAACAATAGCCTAGAGTTCTTTCTAGGGGGTGTGTTGGGCCTTCTGATCCTTTAGTGAGTGAGCACCGTTAGCACTAATTGCAGAGTCTGTGCATGTGTCCGAGGCCCCCATCTGAAAACTGACTGTCCGGTGTCCTCCATTTCTCCCCAGGCCTCCAGGCTTCGCGGCCTCCTGGTTTTCCCGCCCAGACAGGGGTCCGCGCACTGTAGGCCAAGTGCTTGGCGCACCCGGTGGACGCTCGAAGCGTCACCCACCTCCGGCCCCCTTCTCTCCTCCAAAGACCTCCCCGCCAGGAACGCTGAATTTGCACCCTCTCGGCCTCGCGGAGTTCGGACTTCCGTCATCTTCATCCCACTGCATGTGGCTCTTGGAGAAAGCCGGCTACAGGCCGGGGCCCCCGGAGTCCGGGCCCCGATGGGCACCGTCCAACCTGCTCCCTAAGCGCCGAGGAGCCCGGAGCCCGTCCGCGCGCGCCTGTCCCAACGTCCTCACCCCCGACCGCATCCCGCAGTTCTGCATCCCGCCTCGGCTCCCGGACCCCGGCGGCTCCCAGCCCCCTGCCGGCCGCGGCCTCCCCGCGGCCTGTTCGCTGCCGCACCTGGCGGGCCGCGAAGGCTGGCCCTTCCTGCCCGAGAGCCCGCACACGCGCCGGCGCGAGTCCCTGTTCCACCAGCCGTCCCCCAGCGCTCCCGCCCCCGGGGGGCTGTCCCCGGCGCACGCCCGGCTGCACGTCTCCGCCCCGGACCTCCGCCTCTGCCGGGCCCCCGACAGCGACACGGCCTCGTCGCCCGAGTCGTCGCCCTTCAGCTCGCCGCGGCCCGGCCCCGGGCGCCCCCGGGCGCCCCGGGCCTCCCCGGACGAGGCGGGCGCGGCCCACAGCAGCCCACAGGCACCGCGCCGCGCCGGGCCGCCGCTCTTCCACCCGGACTTCCCGTGTTGCCGGCTGCGGCCCACCAAGGAGAGCGCGCTGCGCCTGGCGCCCCGCGGCGGCCTGCTGCGGCTCTGCGCCGAGTACCCGGCCGGGCCCGGGCGCCTGCGCCTGCGCCTGGTGAGCGCCGAGGGCCTGCCGCGGCCACGGACCGGGCCCGGGAGCGGCGGCGGCGGCTGCTGCGTGGTGCTGCGGCTGCGGCCGCGCGTGCGGCCGCGGGGCCAGCGGAGCCGCGTGGTCAAGTGCAGCGCCAACCCCATCTTCAACGAGGACTTCTTCTTCGACGGGCTGGGCCCGCCGGACCTGGCGGCCCGCAGTCTGAGGGCCAAGGTCCTGGACCGGGGCGCTGGCCTCCGCAGAGATGTACTGCTGGGGGAGTGCGAGACGCCTCTTATTGCCCTGCTGCCCCCCTTGGGTGGGGAGCTGAGTCCGGGGGCCTCCCCGGCGCCCACCCATCTCAGTCTGTAGACTGAGAACCTGTCTTTTCCTCAGGAGGCCTCCTCTAGGTCTGCAGTATTCATTCGTTTCAGTCGCCCGGCCTGTATTAATTTTTGCTAATAAAGTGTCTGCTTTCTAGCAGGATTCCTCCCCCTCGTTTGGCGCCCTACACCCTCAGATCTGCAGCCTACTCTCTTCCCTCTGCCACGGCTGTGCCAGGGATGGAAGAAGCTCATTCACACTGAGTTGGAGCAGACCTCGAGTGGTAGTTCTCAAACTTGAATAAGCATTAGAATAACCAGACATCAGCAATCCTGAATGAGTGTGTTAAATATGCAAAATCCTGGGCCCCATCCCCAAGAGATGCTGAAGCTAGTTTAATAGGTCTGGGCTGCCCAGGTCCTGGGGTCCTGTCCAAAAAAGGCCTCCACCCCTGCAGGGGGCCCTCCGATCACGAATCACTCCACCAGTCACTCCAGAAAAAAAGCCCTATGACTGAAACAAACATCAGCCACTCCTCCTCCCGCCCAGTCCCGCCAGCGCTGCCAGTCTCACCCCCTCACTCCAGGGTTCCAACAGTCCTCCACTCATCTACTCCACACTGTACCCACATCTGTCCTGAAAAGAGATGAAATTTCCGTGTCTTGAGGAGTGAGTCAGTAGAGGTCAGACACACAGTGCTGAGTTAGGTGTTCTCCCTCTTGCTTATTCCCGTGCCATCCTAGGGGGTGAAGCTGGAGTCAAGAGTCAGAGCAGCACAAAGGGGCGCCTGGGTGGCTTAGTCGGTTAAGCGTCCGACTTTCGCTTAGGTCATGATCTCGCGGTTGTGGGTTCGAGCCGCGCGTCGGGCTCTGTGCTGACTGCCAGCTCAGAGACTGGAGCCTGTTTCAGTCTGTGACTCCCTCTCTCTCTGACCCTCCCCCTGCTCATGCTGTCTCTCTCTCTCCTAGAAATAAATTTAAAAAAAAAGAAAAAAAAAGTCAGAGCAGCACTTGGGGACTGAATGATGGAGATGAATGTCCCAGGGATTAATATGGGGAGGGAGTCCCACCTGAGTGAGGGAGCACTTCTTAAGGATGCCCAGTGATTAGGGGGAGGGTGGGGAAGGAGATGGATAAATGTAGGTCAGATTGTATTTACCTCCTACCTAAATGTCCCTGACGTCAGCAGTGACCTTCTTCTCTCTCTCCACCTTCCCTGAAGTTGGTTCCTCTTGGCTCACGCAGGCTTAGAGAAAGGAAGGAGGAAGGAAGGGGGGCAGGGAAGGAGGGGAGAAGGCACTGGGCCAACTCAGCTTCTTTCCCTTTCCCCCTTGGGCCCTTTCTCAGTTTTCTTGGTGCCCTGAATGGGGAGGGGGGTGGGGGAAGTGCCTGCCGGATCCTGACAGCCCTCGGTATGTGTAATGCTAACACAACACACACATAGCTCCATTCACATCGCATGGATTCCTTCTCCCTCCTCTGGTCAGGTACCCCCACCTGCTGCTCCAGCCCAAGGCCAGGAAACTCTCGCTCCAGATGTCCACCAGGTGGTAGCATTGACCAAACAATAGTAAGTGCTAACAGCTACAAGGATTGTCCCCAAGCAAGGAACTAACTGTTCAACAACTTGTCAACTCAGTTTCTTCTTCCCAGCAATTCCCAGGAGGGTTAAGTACTATTATTATCCAATGTGACCTTGGCCTTTACTCATCTAGTGAGGAGTAAAGCTAGGGTTCGAACCCAGAGAGTATGGCTTGAGTCTGGGCTCTTAATCCCATCACTGCATAATATACAGGTGCCAGTGGCGGCCTCCCAACCAGGTCACCCTGAGAGGGGTCCCCCCTGCCCTAGGACGTCAGCGCTCCTATTTTTTTCAGTCTGTGAAGTCACCCATGGGTCTAGCTCTGTCCTTCGTACTATCCTACTTCAGCCCCAACCCGCACCCCCACCACAACCTTTGGTAAGCGACTGCATTTGATGCCCAGTTGGAAGTCCCTGGAAAGAAATGTAGAGGCCACTTAACTTTCATTCATGGGTTCCTGCAATACAAGGTGGGAGGCCCCATGAGGTGCCAGGCCGGGGTCAAAACAGACATGGGGCTCAGAGAAGTTACAAAGCCAGTCAGTAAAATGTTAAAAAAAAAAAAAAAAAGGAAAAAAGTTACTTGGTAACATAGAGAAAAAGTAAGCAGGAAAGGGGCATGGAAAAGGGGAGTCAGGTAAAAAGAAGGGAGACTACAGGAATGGAAAGAGAGAGGGATGGATCAACGTGTCTTTTTTTTAACCACAGGACTTCGTACCAGGTCCTGCGCTTTACCTGTTATCCCTGTAATCATCACAACCACTCAGTAAGGTAGGTATGGTTTGTTAGTCCCATTTTCCTGACAGGTAGATCGGGGGAAAGGCTTGGCCGCAGGGAAGGTTGAGGACCCTGGCTCGGCCAGACGCCCCCCACTCCCCCAACCCTGCTGCTCGGAGGAGGCTGGGAGGTGGGAATTCAAATTCACTCAGTTCACAGCTGTCAGTGCCCCCTGTGATGGGGCCACGGTGTCCCTGGAGGAGCTTCTTGGCTAGCTAAAGCCACAAACATGCCCTAGGACAAATGAGGTCCTCAGAACCTCTTGTGTACACACAGCTGGGGCCTCAAAGCCTCTTGCAGGACAGCTTTATTGTCCCCTTTTTACCGATGTGGTACCTGAAGACTAACCAGTGGCAGGCCACCTTCTTATCCAAGTTGTTTGGCTCTAAAAATCAGTGCTCCTGCCTGTCAACCCTCCTTGCTGCGTCTAAGCCTAAGTGACCACAAAGGCTCATTGACAGATGAGTGGTACAGGCAGGGTCACCGTAGAAAGTTCAGGGCCAGGAGCTGGGGTCAAACTCCTGCCGTTCCCTCCACCCACAGTGGCCTTTGTGACAGGAAAGGGGAGGGGTGGGGTGGAGGCTGTGAGATCTACAGAGGTTTATAGAGCCTGGTTGTGCTTTATCTAGTGGTTCAGGGAGGAGGAGGGACAACCCCCTCCCTAGGTCACTCCCGTGGGTTGTCTCCCCCAGCATGGACCTCGTAGAGAAGACCCAAGAAAGGTTGTCCTAATCAATGAATCAGAATTCCCAGAGGGGGTGGCCCTTGAAGGATAGGGCTAGGGTAGCATGTGGTACGCAGGCTGCCCAGGCCTCACATATACTTTCCACCTTCACACCCCCAGGCCCTCCCTGGAAGGGCAGGCTTGCACTGAGCTTTAAGTGGTTTCTGTGGTTTAGGGGCTGGGGAGGAAGGGAAAACAAGCCGGTGACTGCTCCCCAGTTCCAAGCCACCACCACCACCCTCCACCCTCTCCAGGCTGCTTGCCCCTTGCATTGAGATTCCCCAGCCTGATAAGGGAACTTGGGCACGTGGGGGTGAAATGATTCTCAGATCCCTATCAGCCTCTTCCTTGCATAAAAACGTAAGAATGTATTTGAGGAGGAAAAAACCACTGCCTGATTTGAAAGGACTGATTCCTTAGCAAAGAGGCTGTGATTGGAGCAGGAAGGAGGGAGGTTAGGCATAAGGGGGGACTTCCAAATGGATGACCACGGCACCTTCTTGGCCTAGGGAGAAAGAGCCCGAGGCAGGTTTGCCTAGGGCAGGGAAGGGGTAGAGACCAGGAGGCATGTGACTCACAAAGGCCCAGAGGCCAGGACCCTGTCTTCCCAGCCTGGGACCGACCCCCCACACAGTGGCACAATTAGCATGGCTGGGAGAGGCGGCCATGCCTGTAGTACCTGGGGTGGGCAGGGCCGCCTGGCGTGGTGCCAGGGCCTCCACTCTGTACCCACAACCGAGAGGTCAGAAAAGACCCTGGTAGACCCAGAGTCGTGGAGGAAGAGAGGCTGAAAGAGGAGAGAAGATGGAAAGGCAAGAGAGAGGATGGAACCCCAGATAGGGAGGGGCTGGGAGGGAGAGACACGGAGAGAGGACTCTGAGCAGAAGCAAAGCCGATCTAGGAAGGGGAGGGCAGTCCAGCCGGCCCCAGCCCTGCCCTGCAGCCCGTCCCTCTGCCTCTGGCTGGCTCCACCCGTCTGCCAGAGGGCTCTGGGTATTTGGAGAGCTTTGCCTCTCACTCCAAGCGTGCCAGCAGGGGAGAGCCCCAAAGTAGCCCAGCATCCTGTTCTGTGCCAAGAAGTCTACACAGAAGCATGGGCCATGCATTCACCAAAAGGACCCGGGCTAATCAGAGGCGCAAACACACACAGTCAGACTCTCGACATGCGAAGGTCCCCAGAAGTGTCCACCCCATTCCTGTTCGCTCCCTATCCCCTTGCCCACTATCCTAGGAGCAGGGCAGACCTTCTCCACTTCTAACCTTTGTCCCTTAAGCTGCAGCCATTGGGAGACACTGGGGGGGCTACCCAGGAATGGAGGTGCTGATGGTGACGAGAGTGTGCAGCTCCAGAGAGGGGCAGGAGTGGAGGATGGCGAGGTGGGAGGGCAGGGGAGGGCAAGCCAGCTGCCCGCCGTCTCCACGCCAGGTGCCACGTGCTGTGGGTGGCTGGGTCCTGCTCTGCTGTTTACCAGCTGGGAGTGAGAGCAGGGGGAGGCGCCAGGGAGCCGCCCCACTGCAGCCTGGCCCCTCGCCAGCCAGCCGGCCTGTTGGGTAACCAGGAGAGCCAGGCCCAGCTAATCAAACTCTGGACCAAGGCTGTGCAGGAGAGAAGGGGCATCCGGGACCTACACTAGCCTCATTCTGTCCCAAGGCCTTGTTCTGTCCCTGGCTTTATTCTGTCTTCCACAGCGCAGGCCCTGGCCTGGGCCTCCAACTTCCTCCAACTAGTGCAGAGCATGCATGCCCCCTCTCCTCTCCTCGCCTCTCCCCTCCCAGCGCTCCTCTGTCCCCCTCCCCCCCTCCCCCACACTCCTCTAGCCCTGCCCTGCGGCCCTGTGGAGGCATCAGGAGCCAGGGGATCCTAGGGAAGGACAGCGAGGCACAGAGGCTAAGCAGTCAGAGGCCTCGAGGAACTGAAGGGCCACGGGAGGAGTCTGACCTCATCCAGGAGAAGAGGCAGAGTCCACCCTCCCCCCAGAGAAGCCGCCCCTTCCCTGCCTCCCCTGTTCATTTTCCCTATCTTGGTTCAGAT